GCCGGCCTGACTTCGGTGTCCGAGGCTTGCACCAGCTGTTCATCCGCTGACATGTTCACATAAACATTAAAGATGATAATTAGATAGAGTTTGGCATGTATTACGCAGATGCACGATGATGAAAGTCAAGATGTTAGTCGATCTGGGGGCCGGGATGGCAGCTAGCCGCGCGATGGGGAGCGCCACAGGGAAGTCTCCGCATCTCCGCCCACCACGTCATTTTTAGATTTGCAGCCAGAATTGCGCGTACTCGAATGCGCAGCCCTCGCGATCGCCCAACACGCCCAGAATACCGAGCATTCCGACACAGACGCCCGCCGCTTCCGACCAGCCTCACGCGCAGCCCACCATGGCGCTTCCAGCACCAACCATCGATCTCCTCCTCAACCTCATCGACACGCGCCCGCAGTCCATCCTCTCCTCGCTCGAGCAGCACCCGCATCTGGCCTCTGCCCGCGATGCACACGGCTACTCGCTAGTCCACGCCGCAGCCTCGTACAACCAACTCGCCGTGCTGCGCGATCTGGTCCAAAAATACAATGCCGACGTCAACATCACCGACGAAGACGGCGAGACGCCCCTCTTCGCGACCGAAAAGACCGAAGTAGCGAAGTGCCTTGTTGAAGAACTAGGCGCAGACACAAAGATACAAAACCAAGAGGGCCAGACAGCAGAGGACAAGATTGGCGAAGAGGAGGGCGAGACACACGAAGTGTACCAGTACCTCAAGAGTTTACGCACCGGCGACGAACCAGCTGCACCGGGCGTCATAGAGACTGAGGGTGTTCACCCGCCGCCCCCATTACCCGATGGTGTCAAGGTCAATGTAGGCACCATGGAAGAAGATGCTGTCGATGCGCCGGATCCCGAGATACGGAGGCGCATTGAGGAGCTCGCGGCACGAGAAGACTATGATTCTGAAGAGGTGCAGGCGCAGTTGAGGGAGCTGGTGCAGGATGTTGTTGGGGGCATGGGTGCTGATGGTGACAGGAGTGTCAGGCGGAGGGTGGATTGAAGAGACAGGAGATGATGTGCAGTGGGTGCACATGTGGTTGACTCGTCACCCGCGCAACACCACAGATAACATCGTCGAACACGAGATAGGTCACTCCGCGCCGATTCTCGCCCGACTTGCCCTGGAAACAGTTCAGCACCTACGCTGTGTGTACGTGCTCGCAGAACTGTATGCTTGAAGTTGCCTTGCTCTTTCAAGGCCTGGCATAACCCAACGGTGGTATACTTCCAGCATATGCAGGGGCAATTGAATGCCAGACTGCCTCCCATAGATGATCTACGAATGTACATCTCATGGTCCCCACAATTACACCGTCCCAATCTGCATCTTCTCTTCTTCCCTCAGTCACTTGATCACTATTCAAAATCTCGATCCTCAAATCTCGATTACAAGAAAATCCACTTACCCAATGCAGCAACTTCCATTCCACCGTTGATTGCGGCAGAATCAGGATTTTGTAAGCCTTTTCGGAGTATGTCTCTTTTCATACAGCGGTTCGGTCAAATGCACCGACCTTGGTACACCCATCCGGTCCGTCTGCGTTAGGCAACCTCGCTCTTATGCGTGGATTCCAGCCGGCGACATCGGCGATCTCTGGATTCAGGACAATGGGTGCGATCTGAAGCATCTGTGAGAGATCGGAGGAAGGCACTGCTTACACATACTCGCGTAATCCGACGTGCGAGCGTGAAAGGGCCGTTCATGACGGTAATAGTCTTATCCACACGCAAAACCACACCATCGGGTACAAGCATAACCCATCCGCAACACCAAGCGCACCGAGAGCAACGTCATAACGGCCCCATCTGTTACTCCAAGAGGCAACAAAACGCAAAAACCATGGATTCCAGTCGCTCTTCTTCGGACTTATTATTCTCACCAAGACGCACTGATGCCCCTTGACCATTTGCCATTTCCGCTTTATTCCCACAAAAACCCGCGTCTGTGCCGCCTTTTGTTTGGACCGGGGAACACGGCCATGCTCGGCAAGGCATCGGCATTCCCATAATTTTTTGCGCAAAGTGGGGCGTCTACTCTTACCCGAACACCCTACCCTATCCTCCTCTCGGATCGCTCCCTTGGTTTCAACGTTGGCTTGGCGTCTTCGCCACAATCGTTCCCTTTGTTGCCACTTCACCTCCACGGTCTCCACCTGCCACCCTTTTCGGTCAAATCTGCTATAAGGCTGCCTGCATGGGGAAGGAAAGGCCAAAAAGTGTTGATTCTAGTCGGTCAATTGCGGTGCTTCTCGGGGGCATTAAGTGAATCCTTCGGTGAGTTAAGGTGATGGGTGGATGGAGAGAGGGGTTTGGGGGGCGAATGGGCGTGAGACGTGTGGGTTTGTGTGAAGAGATTTGTCGAGGATGGGAGAGAGCAAGGTAAAGTATCTGCTTTCTTTTCTTCTTTCTTTGGGTGGGATTGGGATGTTGGTTCATCGGTAATGTCTGCATATGCGTATGCGGCTTGACCCTTCTCCTCCCGTCCAGAGCTGCTCTTTCCGTCTTCCTGTACCGTGTCTTTGCACCCTACGACCTGCGAATCCCGGTTCAAACGGCTATCATAGCGGGCCCTTTCTGATATGCGCTATGCATTACCCTGTTCGGGGTGTCTCGCGTACATCTCTGTGTCAGAGCCCCGTTTCCTCCATGCCAAACTCGGTTCGCCATATCATCCATCATCATCAGTACCGAATTCTCAGATTCCCATCCCGAATACCCCCAAAGAGGTAACTTCTGATACCCTACCGTAGAACACAGTCGCACTTCGCACTTTTTGTCGAACCCCTTCGCACTTCTTCGCACTTTTTGTCGCACTCCTTCGCACTTCTTCCGAGGTTCGCACTTTCTCCCTGATCTAGCACTACCCCTGCCTCCGCGGAAGCAGAACTCATACGATATTTGGTTGATGTACTTGGAACATCCCGCTCCTCATATGTTCTAGATCATTTTTTGCTACCGGGTTGGGAAAGAGAAGAAGAGTGTTGATTGTAGCCAAGACTGCGGGCCGTGGCGGGTATGCAAGGGGATGGTTCTGCATTAGGGGGTCGTTGGTACAAGAGGTTAGTGTGCTAAAGCTCGAGAAGGTGTGTGTCATATCAGCACGAGGGCACTTTATTCGGAGGAGAAGCGGACATTGATCTTCTACATCACCTCCGTATTTTACAAACTCAGGTCCTCAGAGCAATGTAAACTTCAGAACACCTGTTCGTTTTGTTTCCCAGTATAAGGTACAATTTTCCCAGGTCTAATAACTCCTCACCTCCATGGAAGCGATACCTTGTCCGATATGTAATCGTCCTATCGGAACACCCTGTCATCGTCGCTGAGCTTCTCCTCCGGAACCTCGATGTCCTCAGTCTCCAGCGTGAAGACTACTACTTCATACTTTGCCGGGCGTGCCTGGCTGTCCTCAGCTACCAGCGCCTTACAACGCTGTTTGCGGTTACTGAGCCCAAAACGCTGGTTAATCTCTTCCAGGAAGCCCTCCAAGCTATAGCTACGAAACGATTCGATCTCAATCGCTGTAAGCGCGCCCAAAGGTCGACCTTCAGTCCACCGCACGTACGCAAGCCCTAGTGTTGGTTTGCGCTCTTCAGCATCCGAGTCGTCTGATGAAGGCGCCGGGTTATGTGCAGTAGTCGCCTTTGGGTTCGTCTTTGCTGATCTCGTGGATTTCGATCTCGTGAGTGCTGTTGCGCGCTCCCATTTCGCAAACAGGATGTAGTGGTAAGCTGTTCGGAATACGGTTTCCACGTCTTCTCTTCCCCAATAGTAGAAACACCCCTCGCGGTCGCCAGTGTTCTCCACGACGAGTCTGTGTAACAACCACGAATACCAGTCCTTCTCGTTGTCGTACCTCGGAAAATGCGTCTGCCCAAGGGATCCTATGCGGCCGCGCCACTCACTGTCCCGGATGCGTGCATAGAGATCGTCGAAGGTGGGAACGCTATTACTAGGCTTGTAGAGATCGGTCTTCAGAAACTTGCTGACGAAGACCTCCCACCACGGTTTGACGAGCGATGAGTCTCGCCACTTGTCAAAAGCGGCGTCAGCGTAGGAGTATCCGAGAGAGGCGACGATCTTGCCTCTGTCTTCATACGGCTTGGGCGCGGAGCGCTTTCGCTGTTTCAAGGCACGGGTGGAGGGGCCTCGCGCCATTGTAGCTAGTCGTAGCTACGAGTATATCGGGAGGAAAGAGTCTGGCCACTGTCTGAGTTGGGCCCGGCGTGTTGTAACGTGTGAGTATAAAATAACCTGGATCTCTACCGAAGTGAAGAAATACCCGCGCACTCACCTTCATCCATCCACGTCAACCTAGGAAAACACTAGACACTCTAGAGGCTACATTGACGTTAGGTTACCTACTTTGCACGTTTTCACATCAATGTAGTCTGCAAACCTGTTTAGTTCTGTTCTTGTATAAGGTGCATTGAAGGGCTAGAAAAGTGTGAAGTGAACTGTCTACAATAGGTGATCCGTTCAGCATACTACCTAGGTAATAGACTTCCCAAGGGGTTCTACATTGTACGTTCAGATGGTGCTCGTGGTGATATTAGATAGACCCCCGATATTGGTAACTTCGACGGTACTCTACCATTCCAACCTTTAGAGACGTTGTGTTCCAGACAGCCTACCTACCATCAACTTGTCAAATGCGAAATGTCGTGTGCGCACATGAGACGCACCTGAGCAGTTACCTACGTGCGCAGTGGACCCAATTCTGGCTAGCGCTAGCGCAGCCGCGGGTGGCGATCTCTTTAGTCAGCGACTTGAGCAGCCCTACGAGTCTTGCGAATTCACGCCAATCTTCATTCACCATACGACCTTTCGCCCCACGCATCGCGGCTACCTATACGAAATCTACACGACTACACGAGATTACCTTCGAGATCCGCTGTGATTTCACACCGCATACGCGACGACCGTCCTCGTAACCGCATTACCCTCTACGCCAACCCACCGTCGACACCGCCACAACCACAACCATGGGCAAGGCTGAAGCGGGCAGTACAAAATGGGTGGCCAACAAGATGAAGTCAAAAGGCTTGCAGCGCTTGCGCTGGTGGTGTGAGCCGTGCCAGAAGCAATGTCGCGACGCCAACGGCTTCAAATGCCACGTCCAGAGCGAGGGCCATGTGCGGAACCTGCAAGTTGTCGGCGAGGACCCCAAGAAGTACATTCAAGGCTTCAGCAACGAATTCCAAAGGGATTTCGTCAATCTTCTGCGGACAGCACACAACGAGAAGTGGATCGGCGTCAACAAGTTCTACAACGAGTATATTCGAGACAAGGAACACGTCCACATGAACGCTACTAAGTGGAGTTCGCTCACCGAGTTTGCCAAACACCTGGGACGTGAGGGTATCTGTCATGTCAAGGAAGACGAAAAGGACGGGTTGATGATCGCTTGGAGAGACACCTCCGTCGCGGCTTTGAACAGGCGCAACGAGATCGCAGAGATGGAGGCTGCCGAGGCACGAAGCGGTGCGGGCGAAGACAAGATGTTGAAGAAGATGGCGAAGCGTGCACAAGAAGAAGCCGAGGCCAAGAAGGCTATCGAGGCGAAACGAGCTGCGGCACAAGCAGCAGTACAACAGCAGGTTACTCCACCGGCCGAAGGAGCGTCCCCAACCGAGGAGAAGAAGGTCGAATCGCCGACCAACGAACAAACACAAGGAGAGAAGACAGATGCCACGGAAGTGAAGGCGGAAGCAGCGCCTGTCAAGCTCAGTTTCGGGCTGAAAGCAAAGACTGCACCAGCGCATAAGGCTGGACTTGGTCAGATGAAGAGCCAGAGCATCTTCAAGCGGAAGAAGGACGACGCGACAGCGGAACAAAAGCCCGTGAAGAAAGTCAAGTTATGAGCGAGGGCAGGACGTGATTGATTTTCAACATGCATAGCGCGGCGTTTTGGTCAACATATTATGGCAATGCAATAGGATCCCATGTGCCGAGAGGGCATTCACAACATATCGTCTTTTGCTGCTGCTGCTGCTGCTGCTGCTGCCATTACCGGCACTTCGCCTATGTCCCGGGAACACTACCGCGCCATTTCGCGTTCTTCTGTCTAGGGGGTGCACGCGCCATACCATCTCAAACTTAGCGCCATTTCGGCGCGTCTACATCATCGAGACGCGTCTCTCTCCAATATATACCCACCACCTCGCCTCTTTTTCCTCCAAACCCAACACCTCAGTCTGCAAACTTGTCGCAAATACTTCGCAATCTCGTCCCTACCGCAAACATGTCGCTCGTTACTTTATCGTCCCTCCCCGACCCAGTCCTCCATCTCATATCGGTATACCTCGCGCCCGATCGGCCCAGCGTCAACGACGTCGAAGAAGGCCAACAGCCAGCACTCTACCGCCATATCATCAACCTCTCATTAACGGCGCACTCACTCAATCGCATTTCCTCCGTACACATTGCGAAGAACATCAGCTTAACAATCGCCAACACGCGTTGGGATCTGTTCCTACGCACCGTAACCTCGAATCCCACCTACGCGTCGACCGTCAAATACCTGAAGATGAGCGAAGGCACGATCGACGACAACTACGGCAAGCGTATGGAAGCCATGCTCACAGCGCTGAGCGGATTGGAGGCCCTATACGTGCATCACAGCAAACGAAGCCACGCCAACGCCATCCAACAGCTTCTCACCTCAAAGCCACTACCACTATGGGATACATTGCAGGTACTGCGCTTCAACCACACCAACAGCTGGGGCGAACCGGCCATTGTGCAACTCGATTTCGAGCGCAAAGAAATAGACAAGAAAGGCGGATTAGGCTATCTAAGTGGCACTGAGCTGCTCACTGGAGAGCTAGAGGACTTGAGCTGTCATAGGTTTCTGGATATACCAGTCATCAGTAAGGTCAAGGTTTCCACACGCGACTTTGAGAACGATGGCGATGACCAGGACGATGCGGATTGGGTGGATGAAGATGAGGAGGAAGAGGCGGATGATGATAGCGATGGCTGGAGTGAGCGCGATTATGAGGATAACAGCGAGGAGAGTGATTGGGATTCAGAGGACGAGAGTGACTACGAAGACGATTGGGAAGCGGAGTATGGGTTTGCGGTACCGAAGGCTGAGCCGGCTAAGGATTTGGCGGTGCCGAATACTGCGGTCGTTGTGCCTGGGAGGAGTCTTTTGGACTTTTGAGGTTGTGTGCGACGTGGACATGCTTAATTGTTAGATGGAAGAGGTTAGGACTTCATTTCTTGTTGTGTATTATACTCACCATACTAGTTTGTTGGATCTACTCATGTATTGAGTCTATCTATCTACCGCGGATAGATTATCTGATATTCTCGTCTTCATCGTCTGAAGGCTTGTCGTCCTCTCCCCAGATGCCCAAATTTGACTGAGCTAATAAGAAAGGAAGACTCTCCAGCACTGAGACACTGTCTTGATAGGTCTTGAACGACTTGGTAGAGAGAAGCGATATGTGGCGTACCCATGCACTTGGCTGTCCTGTGCGCTTGAATCGAGCAAGCGCCTATTGGCGGAAGCTACGTCAAACTCATTCGCACTCTTTGTAGAAGCAACGGTACCGGCTTCATCTCTTCTTCGTTGGCTACTTCCCTGGTGGTCAACAGGAAAATGACCTTTTTCCCATCTCTGTGCGCGAAGTACTGAGCGCCGATGTACGTCAAACCCCCTGTGGTATCCAACTCCACCACAATCTGCCGGTGGCTACGTAGATCAAAGGCGTTCATGACCGCTCTTTCGAACTCAGCTTCATTCATGCCACAAAAGCCCTGGACGGTTGCTTTAATGGATGTTCCTTTATCTTCTTCTAAAGCTTCCGGCATGCCTTCGACCCAGAAGATGCTGGCAACACCTTCGTCGGGATGGAGACGATGCTCATACACATCCACAGATAAGGTAGCTCCGTGGAGGTCTGGTTGTTTGGACGAGGATAGTGCGGTCTTTAATGAACTAGCAGCGCCTTTGCCTTTGTTCCGTGCGCGTTGCCGCTTCTCGAAGGCGATGAAGTCCTACATGCTTCGGTATGTTCCCAATTTCTTAAGCCCCTTTGCATAGAAGCAACCATATCTACACTTCGTGTTTTGGTCGACAAGGCAATATAAAAGCCATGCATGCTAGTCGATATTAGTAGTGTATTAACAGTCAACGCGGGCAGAGAATGTGCACCAGCCATTCTTCTCGCTGTTAATCATCCAAGTGTAGACGTGAACGAACTTTAGACCCTTTTTGCCAGATTTAATAGAGACAAATCCAGGAAGTGTTTGCTGAATCTTTCCTAGTAGGGCTTTAATAGGTTGCTCGCGCGCTATTTTTTAAAAGCTTGCCTACGCCCGAAGCCCAGTTGTTCGATAATCAGTGCCTTTGTCTCGTAAGGTCGCATCTTGCGCCTCTTGGTGGTCTTGGTGGCCATATCGGCACGGGTGTGTAGGGTGTCGTGGGTGTTGGAAGTAATTGGAGCGGCAGTTGCGATGATGTCAGTCAGAAGCGAGAAGGACGTATATGGCTACCTAAGGGAAAGGTGCAAACAGAGCGTTTACACAACTAAGCGTGACAAATCGGCGGTCAACAAGACATCCTGTAGAGATATCCCGTTGCTGTTATCGACATGTACGTTACGTTACGTGAAATCCCGAGATGCACTTGTCTTCAAATGAGGCGGCTAGAAAGAAATAAGAGCAACGTAAGCTTCTAGGCGACTTGCTTCTATTACATTGTCATTGCTTATTTCCGCATACAGCAGTGTTTAATACGATACCAGAAATATCTAAACGCGATGTAGACTTCTGGGTGATCTGTTTCTACAATAACTTTATTGCTTCTTGCGGCCTACGATAGTACAAAATGAGATAACAGGCAAGAACTAAGAGCAACGTAGACTTCCGGGTGGTTTGATTCCATAATTTTCTTTTCACTTCTTGTGGCCTACATCGGTACATAACACAATGTCTAACGAAGACTAACGGCAATGTAGACCTCTGGATGATTCGCTGTAACGCAGAAAACTGGCCGTATAGGGTACATAGCAGTCTTACACCACTAAATTAGAGTACAGGCATACGCGAGCTCCGTCGCTACATGGCGACGAACATAAGCACTGGTGTAGCAGGCTCAATCGAGTATGGAGGATGAAATGTTGGGGCTGATATAGTTGCGGCCGTAGCTCTTGCCGAAGGAGCTATCCTTACTGTCCTGCAGTATCTTCCACGCTGCGATTAGCTCATCAGCTTTCTCATCTTGGCCGAAGACCGACTCCAGCGCCTTGAGAATGAGTTTAGGGTTATACCGAATCCACCAAACTCCGTGATGATCATCAGCGAACTTGGTGCTTATGCCGTTAGGCAGGCAATTCAGGTACAGAACCAGATCGAAATCTAGGGTAGTAGCTAGTCACGGAACGATCGCTCTCGCATCGCAGAACCATCCATCAGCACCGACGGAAAGTAGAGTCCTCCAAGTCCCGGACTGGTTGGTAGGTAGCTTCGATGTCGTTGGTGATTGCTTGCACCCCAACTAGAGAGAAGACTGAGCGCCCCGGAGCCTACATTGACGTTAGGTCAACTAACCTGCCTGCTTTTATCCTTATGTAGGCTGCAGATCTGTTCAATTTCTTCTTTATATGAGGTGCTTGCGCGAAAACGAAAGCACTATACGTCGAAAGCTTGCTCATGGTCGAGCCTGAGGTGTTTGATGAACTCGGCCTTGTATTAATATGACCGACCTTTGTGCTTTCAAGGAAGCATCTTGATACAAGCGCGGATGGTGGCGAGGTCGCCGGATTGTCCAGGGTACTGAGAACAATCGAGGCGGCAGTTACGCTGTCAGAAAGATGTCGAAGAGCATTCGCTGCTCGATGTGCGATATTTTGCTGTGGCCGAGTGGTCAAAGGCGCTGCGTTTGGGTCGTTCTGAACATCCTCCGCAGTCTTCGAGGAACAACGACCCGGTGTGCGGTAGCCCGTACCGATCAAATCCCAAAACTCATCTACAGAGACAAGACATCGATTGGCACACAGATCCTGCACCAACGCATCTGAAACCGATTCCGTGCGACGGTGACGGTGACAAGTCACCGTCAATCACACCTCTCAGGACCAGTACTTACGACCTTGCCCCTGGATGCCTCGCCTGTGTAAAGGGCCAGCGCATCACAACGCCCCGCCTCTTACATGTCGTAATCCACGTGTACCCATGCTCGCGACATCAGGGGATTAGGCGAATTCGCAGCGTAAGGGGAAAAACAACTCGAAACTCCGTTGTCGTGAATGACGATGAGGCTTCTCTGCACGCTGCACCACAAAGCAGGTTATTGGGCAGGCGCGACCAGCGGACAGGAAGGCGCGACTCAACCCCGCTGCCGCCTTCTCGCTAACCCAACGCCCTATCGATTGCGCCAGACAGACCGTGAGAAAGCCTCCCGCAGCATGTATGCACGCCACACGGCTCGACGTTTCTAATTTAGGTGTCTGGGTTCCTTGCCTAGGCAGTAACGGCGTAGCGCGCGGCGATGGGTGTGTTGTTGGAAAATGGCGACAGTTGGTAACTCACCCGCTCACCGGTCGAAGACTTTACGCCTTGCATACAGCATGTATGTTCAGCAAGGACAACGCGTTCTAGAATGTGGAAGCCGAGGTATTGGGAACATCTACATCGCGCTAGTCTGTAATCCATGGGAATATGTGACTTGGCTAGACATGTGAAATCGGCCGGGTAGAGACCACTTTTCGAATACATTCAGTCGCTCTATCACGATACTCGTATCCAGGTAATTACTTCCCCAATCTCCGCATCCCGCTCGACCCCCTCTCTCATTTTCCCATCTCCCCCATCAAAGAGATGAGATGAGAACCGGGCCGAAAGCGAAGAACGC